CGACCGGGCGTCCGGAGAGCGGGCGGGCCGAGCGGCCGGGAAGGGCACGAGGGGCCCGGGCCCGTCTCCCGAGGCCGACGCCGGCCTCACAGGTGCGTTCCCTCTGCGAGGATGCACGGACCTGAACGCCTAGAGGCCCTTTTCCATTTATAGTGCACGCCTCGCTGTGAAGTTAGAGAAAAACCCAAGCCGAGGAGCCTGGGGGCGGTGCTCGCCTCTCCACCGCCACCTGGTGGCCGCCCTGTGAACTACCACGCCGGTCGGGGCGGGCTCCCGACAAGGCGGGCCGAGCTGAGGGAAGCGGGTTAACGAGAACTTTCCGGGGAAAAAGTCCAGCCAGTCAGTCCAGCCTTTCAGGGTCCAGAAAACCACTCTGGGGACTCAGAGGATGTAGAATCCCTCGGAACCGGCTCAGACCCAGATGTCCTCTGAAGTGGGTTGGACCTGGTCAACAACCAAGCTCTTCCCCCTCCGCTCTCTCCTCTCGCAGCTGCCCCCACCCCAGCCCCAGAGTCCCCGCCTGGGCCCCTTCTCCAGGTCGGCGCCCGCTCACTCACGCAGGGTCAGGTGTGGAGCACGTGACTCGGGCAGGCCAGTCACGGCCGACATTCCACGGTCTGAGTGATTGGGTCCGGTGGCGGGCATGTGACTGAGCCTGGCCAATCAGAGCGAGCCTCGGGACTTTCGCTGGGCATGCTGGGACAGAGGCTGCTACCATCCCTCCGGAGGGAGACTTCCGGGAGCTGGAGGCTGCCACCTAGCGACGCGTCTGCGCAGGACGAAGAGCCGGCGATGGAGCCGGGGAAAGGGGCCTGGCCTTCGTGCTTTGATCTCTGGCTCCAAGCTTGCCTGACATGGACTCTAGGACTGCTTGGTTATGTGGAAAAGTTTCCTTTTTTTCCCCTGTGCCCTGCAACTGAAGGAAGGGAACAGAAAGGGCCCACAGCTCATGCCTCCAGCAGAGTGAGCAATTGGATTGGTGGGAGCAATGGATCCTGCGGTCAGGTGATGCAAGAGGAGAGACTTGTGCTGTGACCTGAGAGCCGGGAGAGTTAGACAGAATTAACTAACCGGTAAACCACACAGGAAATGAAAGCAAGAGGTGAATTCCTCCATTTTAGTTTTTTTTTTTTCTTTCCGATTTCCTGTAATACAATTTTCAACCACTCAAGCTGTTACTGAAGGCAAGTTCGTGTGCCCCCCATACCACCAGGACAAACAAACTGAAACATCGAAGTTTGGAGCAGAGAAAGTTTCATTGCAGGGCCGAGCAAGGAGGATGGGGTGGCTCATGCCTAAGAAAACCCTGAACATACTTAAAGGCCAAGTGAGGGAGGGCAAGTCGCAAGGTATGTGATCAGCTTGTGCACAATCTTCTGATTGGTTGATGTGGAGGTAACAGGACCATCAACACCATCAACTCCCAGGCACCAGAAGGTCTGAGGGCAGTGTGCTCTCGATTATCAGGTAGCCAATTTCTTCCCTTTGGTGGTGGTTTTGAGCCTCTGAAAAACTCAGGAAATTTACATGAGATACTATTATCTGGGTGCTTCAGAGAGGAGCTGCAGCAGAGGAGGGGAGAGGTTTGACTCTGCAAGCCCTTCCCCCCCACCAGGGTCCTGCTTGGTTAACAAAGCTTTGGAACAATTCAACAGGTGTTACCTTCTGTCTTACTACATTAACTGTTTTGTCAAACCACTTCAAAAGGCGTCGCAGACATCGTGACTAGGGAGAGAGATTTCAAGCTGAACTGGGAGTCCCTCCTCCAGCCTCGAGAGTGACTTTCCATCTACACATACGTGGGGTTCCTGCAGGACCTGTGTGAGCTGTTAAGCTGGCCCAAGCCCGCCCCTCAGCCTGCTGTCCTTGGCTATTGGGGTTATCCTGGCCTAACTTACATACGGGCTGCAGCTGAGCTGATGAACACACATGGCCCCTTATCTCCACAGCACCATGTGGCTAGCCGGGAACGGGAGCCAGTGGCTTCTCTTTGCTGAACTTCTTAGAAGCGACTAGAACCTGCCCGTATGCAGTGAGGAGCGACCTAGAGAGCTGCATGAAGTGCTCTGTGTCTCAGTGAAGCTGCTGCTGTGTTTCCTGTTCCACATCCTTTCTAAATCAGTTAGGTGCTAGGTGAGTGTTGTTTATTGTGAGTTTATTCGTCAGCCGGAACCCAAAACCCACTGCTGTGGTCTGGTGTGATTTTTTCACCTCTACATAGTTAGGCATGCTTCTCTCAAAAATAAGGATATCCTACACAACCAAAATGATATATCACATGCAAGAAAATTCTAAATTCTGAAATACCACCTCACACTCAATCTATCTCCCAGTTTCCTCCACTGTCCCCAAAATATTCTTTATAGCTAGTGTTTAAAAATACGGATCCAGTGGTAGATCCAGTGGTAGCAAAGCTTCTCTCCTTGACCAAACTTTACTTAGGCCCCCCGAGCCTGGCTTGATCCTGTCCTTGGGCATGTCCTCCAAGAGCCTAATTTTAGCAAGACTCTTGCTAAATTAGTTTGGCCAGAACTTCCCACCTTTGATATCCGATCACCTAGGATATCTGACCAAATTCCTCAGCCTTCACTGCCCCTGAGTGATGCCTGATCACCCTCACCTGCCTTCAGCAAAAATCTTGTTTAGCCAGAATGCTTACTCCTTACTCCAGATGTTTCCTCTTAGTAATTTTCCATCCATCAACCCATCTGTGGGCTCACAGCCCTTCCTCTTTGCAGAGATATGGCCTTGTAAAGCTGTCAGGCAAAGAAAATGTCTCAAACGACTCCATTTCAGAAAGTATTTTATAATTAATTTCTAATTCATAAGTTAAGATGCTTATATTCCACACTAAGTTAAGAGGTTTGACCCTGAGGACTGGCTGGTTCCAGCTGGCTGCACCCCCTCCGACAGTTTCATGCCTTCTTCTAGTGGAAAATCCAGGGCAGACCTGGAGCTGCCGTGAGGTACAGGCGCCAGGCCGCTTGGATTGAAATTCTTGTCCACTGTTGTTTGCCACGGGGCAGGTTACTTAATTCAGTGCCTCAGTTCCCACAATTATTAAAGTGGAGATAGTAACACCTACTCATACTCCTGCGAGGACTGAATAAATTACGGTTGATATATGGTGAACACTTAAGAGAACTTGGCCTGACATGCGGTCAGTGCTCCACACTTGTTTGTTATTATCATATTATATCTATATTATAGTATATATATAAAGGGCAATATATATATGTAAAGGGTAAACACAATTACATTGTAAGGAATCCTGGCAGTGGATACCAAAAGCACCATTTCCTTCCTTCAAAATGAAAGAAGGGCAACAAAGCAAATAAACGATATAACACCTGAGCGTTTGCTCTACGCCAGGAACTGTGCTACCAGCTCTGCAGGTGTTATCTCACTCAGTCCTCACTGCAACCCCTGAAGCAGGTGCAACTATCACCTCCCTTTTCAGATGAGGAAATCGAGGCCCAGAGAGGTGAAGTGACTTTGCTCAAGGTTACAGGCCACTAAAGACTTGAACCTGGACACTAATTCCAAACATCATAGTCCACACTCGGTCTCACGTGCTGGGGCAAAGGGCGTTCCTGGGGCCTCGAGGCCCAGCCCCACCCCCTGTCCCGCCCCTCAGCTGGGCCCCACCCTCAGCCCCGCCCGCACGCGACCCCGCCCACCCACGT